CTGCTCTGCCTCCCGCCCCGAGAGAGACCAGGCAGGGCCCGGGGGTACCCCGGAGGAAACCCCACTGCATCCCCCGAGATGCCCGGGAGAGACCCCAAATGGGTCCCGGTGCTACCCCAAAGCAACCTCACTGTATGTTCCTCAAGAGGCCCTGAAAAGACCTCAGGCAGAACCCTGGAGGAGACCCCACTGCATCCCCTGAGACATCCTGGAGAAACTCCAAACAGGCCCCAGGGACACCCAGAAGAGACCCTGCTGCATCCCCCGAGATATCCTGGAGAGATCCCCGGCAGGTCCCAAAGACACCGTGGGGAGATCCCAAATAGGCTTGGGAGACAAGCCAGAGGGACCCCGATACACACCCTGAGACGGCTCTGGAGAGACCCCGGGGATACCCTGGAGAAGAACCTGCTGCATCCCCTGAGACACCCTGCAGACACCCTCCCTGTACCACGGGGTGCCTTGGAGACACCCAAAAAGGCCCCCAGAAAAACCCAGATGGGCTCTGGAGACAAGCCAGAGCGACCCCTCTGCGTGCCCCTGACACCCCAGAGAGGCCTCAGGCCATCTCTCAGGGTTCCCTCACAGAGACCCCCACGGGCCCCTCACAAACCCTACTGAGACCCAGGCAGACCCTTGTGCACTCCTGTGTGCTCAGTATGACCCCGATGGGACTCTGCGTCCCCCGAGGCACCACAGTGACCCCATTTGTGTCCCCTGCAGCCCCAGGATCCCTCCACACTGACCACCAATGAGACCTTCAGATACCTTGGAGTGATCCCAAAGAGTCAAGCACCCCAAAACCCCAAATGTGACTTACCAGACCCCCTGAGATGCCCCACATGGGACCCCTACACTCCAGAAACACCCCAGGGTGACAGCTGCATGCCTCGGCATAGCCCAGAGGTGACCCCAAAATCACCCCCAGTGCCCCACATAATCCCAACTGACCTTCTCTGGGGCACAGCCAACGTCCCCGTGTCTCAGCCCCCATCACCGTGCCCACAGCAGACCCATGGCGAAGGGGACCTGTCCCCATCCCCTCCCCACACACAGGCAGGGTGCAGGCAGGGTACAGGCAGGGAAGGGGGTGCCAGCCCTGCACAGCTGCCTCCAGTCCGCATCGCCGCTGGGCTGGGGGGGCAGGAAGCAGGCGGCATCCAAGGGGGCAGGGACCCCAGGGGCAGTGTGGAGACACCCCTCCCGGCCCCTCCTGGGGTGCCCCCGGCACCCAGCGGGGCGAGCTGGGAGCCCCATGGGGGGTGTATGTTTCCCAGGGGACCCTTACCCATGGGGAAAGGCCCCGAAGGGGGCTGAGGAGTCGGGGCTTTGCTTCATCCTTTGCTGGGGAGCCAGTGCGGCTGGTCCAGGGGGTCCTGGGGGAGCAGAGCCCTCCAGCAGCCAAAGAAGATGGGAATCCTGAACCCCAACGGGCTCCGGATCTCCCCTGCTGCGGGAGGGGACGCTGGCCCCGCGGTGGGAGCGGGGAGGTTGGTGTCCATGCCCGGGTGGAGCCGGTGAGCGTGGCATGCAGGGACCCCCGGGCAGCCCCTGGTGGCAGGCAGTATCTCTCGCACACTGCCCTCTCGCTCGTACGCCGTTCGGGGGCTCTCCAACCTGTCCCCCAACGCAACTCCACACTGTGTCCGTTTCCCTCTGGCCATGCAGCCCCGGCAGCAGGGGTCGAGCCCACCCAGCACCCGCTGCTGCCACCCAGAGCCTTCCAAGGGTTGGTGGGGCCACGACGGCTCCTGTAGAAACCAGGTGTCCATTTATCGATGTGCCCGTCCCTCCCAGCATCCATCCATCCATCCCTGTGTCTGTCTGTCCACGGCCCCATCCATCCCAGCATCCATTCATCCATGCCTCTATCCTGCCCAGATATCCCAAGGACGGGCACCACTGAAGAGACCCCAGCTCCCGCTGCAAGGGGAGTGGGGGGGCAGCGGGAGATCTGCTCCCTGCCCCCCGCTCCCTCCCC